TTTTCAGGCAATCTATTAACTTCTTCTTGTAACCACTTCCTGGATCTCTTTTCAGAGGTTTATAAGTGTTTAAGTCACTAAGGAGTGTCATAACTTTCTCATGATAGTCTTTCTGGTTCAAAATCACTGTGCACCTTCCTTTGTCTGCTGGGAGAATGATGATGTTTTTGTCCTTGCTAAGAGTGGTGAGTGCATCCCTCTCCTCTCTACTGATGTTGGAAGGTGGTGGTTTGGCATTGCTGAGGCAGGATGAAACTTTGATTCTGAGCTGTTCTGCTGTATGTGGCAGGAGTATCAGAGAAACTGAGACGTTTATTTTCTAAACATAACGTCCCAGTGGCTTTTAAAACCCAAAATACATTACGGCAAAGACTGGTTCATCCCAAAGATCCAGTCCCCTGGCACAAACAGAGTAATGTTGTGTATGCTGTTCAGTGTCAAGAGGGTGATCAGTCTTACATCGGGGAAACTAAACAGCCACTGGCCAAAAGGATGGACCAGCACAGAAGATCAACTTCATCAGGCCAGGACTCTGCGGTCTACACTCATCTCCAGGACAGCGGTCACTTGTTCAGGGATAAAGATGTTCACATCCTGGACAGAGAGGAACGATGGTTTGAGAGAGGAGTAAAGGAGGCCATCTTTGTGAAAAGAAACCGTCCATCATTAAACAGGGGTGGAGGCCTCCATGTTCAACTGTCCCCCTCTTACAATGCTGTGATTGCTAGTATCACTCAGCCCTCTGTGAACAGTAAACAGCCATCAGTGTGCTAATGATCCATTGTTAGGCTGATGGTCCTTCTTGACCATGTGAGCAGCTGGTTTTGGTTGTCAGCAGCAAAACTGGTTGATCCACTCTGAGAAGGTGCTATTTAAGAGACTGAGCTGAATACAGCACCTCAAACTGAGGAAGTCTCTCGGATGAAAGACAAAACGTTTCTACATTTTTATTGTCTTGTTTTGTTTTTTGAATGTCCAGAGGACCAGACTTAACTTTTTAGATCAACTTTACTTCTTACAACGTTTTACTTTCACGATGTAAAACCATAATTTTAAGAACAAAAATGATCTAAAAATGTCCCATGTGAAGATCTAAATGTGTTAAATGTTTGAGCCTCTGGAGCAACTTTTGTTCGATGAACTTTGACTCGTGTTCACAGAGGACTGTACAGTAATGGAGGTGAAAGAGAAAAGACAATGAATCAAGGGATGGAAATGGATTTTAACAGAGTTAACTTTAATTACAAAAATCTAAGGACTGTAGTTTCACGTGTAGAAAACGATTCAGCTGTTTGTTTTAAAGAAGAGCAGCATGATCAGAAGAATTGTATTAGGTTACGAAAAATGGGTCAATTTTGCAAGAAGCTTTTATTGCTGTGGTGTAGCTACAGCTTAAAGTTGGTCATCTGGTGGGTTTGGTTTGAAAATGGTTTTTAAAACTTTGAGACCTTTCTGGCCTTTTTTTTCAGACGTGGACAATAACGGGTTCATCAGCAAAGATGAGCTCCATGAGCTCTTCAAGGCAGCCAACCTGTCTCTACCTGGGTACAGAATCAGAGAGATGGTCCAGGAGATGATGAAGACCAGCGACAGGCTCACCTTTGAAGAGTTCACCGAGGTCACTTCTTGCTCCATCAGGCTGGTTTGTGCAGCTCACTCTGAGTGGAAAGCTATGAGTGTTTTGTTGTTTCTTCTTTCAGATAGTCCACGGGCTGAAGAGCAGTGAAGTGGCCAAAACCTTCAGGAAAGCCATCAATAAGAAGGAGGGGATCTGTAATGTGGCAGGAACGTCAGAGCAGTCAGGCACTCAGCATTCATACTCAGGTCTGTACTCACAACCTGAGAACAACAACCAACTCTAGATACTGTGTGTGTTCAAATGAACATCACATTTGAGTGATTAAAAAAACACAACTATTCTGAATATCTGGAAGAGAAATCCTGCATTCTTTTCAGTGAGAACACACATTATTATATAAAGATGTTTGAGTTGAGGACAAAATGTTGGTCAAACAAAAAATGGACTTGTGAATAATGTAATGTGATGCTGTGCATTTTTGAGTCTCGACAACCACCTTCACGCTGTATGATGACACTTTTACCCTCTGCTACCAACATTTGGAAACCGTCCTTCAGTGTGAAGGCAATCATGACCCTGTTAATCTTATTATTCACTAAGTTTTCCATCTATTTTTAAAGTCCCCAAGATTATCACCTGCACTCTTGCCACAAACCATCCTCCCACCCTACCACAGCTCTTTCCAGCCACGTCAGAATGCAGCTATGCACCAGAAAATCCCGCCACGCTACAACGCTAACATCACAGGTGTCACATCTGTGCTAGGTTGTTTCCATGACCTGGCTGGGATCACATTTGTAGCCAAGGCATGAAGCCATTCTGCTCAACCATGGTTCGCATTCTAAATGACCAAGGTACGTTGGTGCACACAGGCCCCACATCATGGATACACTGCCACCATGCTCCACCCAGGACCCTGATACAGCACAACGATACGACACCACAAAGATGCTGCAGAAGTTTTTTTACGTGTCCAAAAGCATCCATGATCCATCACAGGAGGTGACTGTGTTCTGAATCTGCCTTCAACAACCTTATCAAGACCCTGCAAACACCATCCATGGACCCTCTGATTCTTTATGGAGTGTTATCCAGTATGAAGTGGGGCTAGGAGAGTGGAAAAAAACTATATTTTTGAGAACAAGACCAGTCAGTAAACAGGCAAGAGTTAAAGAAAAAGTTGTAAAACAGTTAGTTGAGATGAACTTCTTCCTGTGGGCAGAAGTTATTATTATTTTTTGTCTGCAGAGGAAGAGAAGGTGGCCTTCGTGAACTGGATCAACAAAGCTCTGGAAAAGGATCAAGACTGTAAACATGTTCTGCCGATGGATCCCAACAACAATGACCTGTTCACCAGCATAGGAGACGGCATCGTCCTCTGGTAATCTGAACCTTCAACTCAGCACTGCTCCACACCCAGTTTACACATTTAAAGGACCATTCAGGATGGACTTCCCTTCTATAATTGGACTGAACTGTAACATTTAAGGTTTTAGGATTATATAGTTAGACCTTTCAAAGTGCCTCCATTTTTAAAGGCTTCATGCTATATGATGAGTAAAAAGATGAATGATTTGAATTTATGTAGTATTTATTCATGGGAACATGATTCATTCTTTATTTATACAGGTTAGTCTCATTGAGCCTCGGGGACTCATTTACAAGAGAGACCTGATACATTCAAACAATGAACGTTTTTTTGAACATTCAAAAAAGAAAAGGAAATAGCATAGAGGGCAAAATTAAACTGAAAACAAAATAGACCTAACAGACACGGACTGTAACAATGAGCACATTAAAAGTTTCATAAAAGGGAGGTCAGACATGAAAAGTTGAAGTAAACCACAAAAGTTAAACTGTATTTGGTGAGAGAACCTCATCTGCTCGAGCCATTGATTGAAAACTTAAATGACCTCAGCTGTGTTTCAGTTAATTTATGTTTTAAACTGTAAATGTGTGACTGCCGTGTTTATCAGCCTGAATTTGATTTGTCTTTGTTAGTAAAATGATCAACCTGTCTGTCCCGGACACCATTGATGAGAGAACCATCAACAAGAAGAAGCTCACTCCCTTCACCATCCAGGTGACACAAGGAGCTCTTTTCTCATCCCTCTGATGATGAACGTCTTTGAATATCTGAACCTTTCATTGTTTGGTCCAACAGGAGAACCTAAACCTGGCTCTGAACTCGGCGTCAGCTATTGGCTGCCATGTGGTGAACATCGGAGCTGAAGACCTGAAGGAGGGCAGGCAGCACCTGGTCCTGGGTCTGCTGTGGCAGGTCATCAAGATCGGCTTGTTTGCCGACATCGAACTCAGCAGAAATGAAGGTGTGTGAGTTTAAGTAAAGGTTGTCCAGCAGAACGTCATCTAGGTTTTCCTGTGTCACAACACAGCAAAACCTGTTTTCCTGAATCAGTAAAATTATTAATTTGATGGAAATAAGCATACTGAACCAAACCTGCCTTTCTATATTTCTGAACCAAACCTGCCTTTCTATATTCCTGAACCAAACCTGCCTTTCTATATTCCTGAAGAATGACCCAGAATGGAAGTCCAGATAACGCACAGTGAGACAGTTCTTCTTTCATTTTCAACATGATTTTTTAATTATTTACACCTATTCTGAGTAAATCTATCACTCCTTATGCTAACAAAGATTGTGTAAATATTACTCTACGCATTACAGCTTTCATGTAACATGAGATTAGCAACCATTAGCTGGAATTTGTGAAGTTACACACACTTTAACTCACACACCGTTCATCCTTACCAGATGCCCAAACCACCTCAACTGGCTCCTCTTGATGTGGAGGAGCAGTCTCTCCAGGATAACTGAACTTCTTATCCTATCTCTAAGGAAGAGTCCAGCTACCCTGAGGGGGAAACTCATTTCAAACGGCTTTATCCACAATCTCATTCTTTCGGTCCCTACCCAGAGCTCATGAGGATAGGTGAGGGTAGGAACACATACCGACCGGTAAACAGAGAGCTTTGACTTACAGTTCAGCTTCCTCTTCACCACAACAGACTAGCACAGAGTCCGCAATACTGAAGACACTGCACCAGTCCGTCTGTCAATCTCACGTTCCATTCTTCCCTCACTCGTGAACAAAACCTCAAGATACTTGAACTCTTCCACTTGAGGCAGAACCTCACCCTCGACCAGAAGAGAGCAATCCACCCTTTTCTGGCTAGGGACCATGGCCTCAGATTTGGAGGTGCTGATTCTCATCCCAGCCGCTTCGCATTCGGCTGCAAATTGCTTCAGTGTGAACTGAAGACCATGGCACAATGACGCCAACAGGACACATCATCTTCAAAGAGCAGAGATGGAATCCTGAGGCCACCGAACCGGAAACCTTCTATCAGCTGGCTGCACTGAGAAATTCTGTCCATAAAAGTTATGAACAGAATCCGTGAAAACAGGCAGCCCTGGCGGAGTCCAACTCTCACCCTGAAGGGGTCAGACTTACTACAAGCAATGCAAACTAAACTCTCGCACTGCTTGTATAGGGACCGAACAGCCCATAACAATGGGCCCCCAATCCCATACTCACAGAGCACCCCCACAGTGTACCCTGAGGAACACAGTTAAATGCCTTTTCCAAGTCCACAAAACACATGTAGACTGGATGGGTAAACTCCCATGACCCCTCGAGGGCCCTAGTGAGTGTAAAGAGCTGATCCAGTGTTCCACGGCCAGGACGGAAACCACATTGTTCCTCCTGGATCTGAGGTTCGACCAACTATCGGACTCACTTGTCCAGTACTTCTGAATAGACCTTACCAGGGAGACTAAAGAGAGTGATGCCCCTGTAATTGGAGTGCACCCTCTGATTTCCCTTTTTGAAGAAAGCAACCACCACCCCAGTCTGCCAATCTAGTGGCAATCCAAGATTCAACTTGTCTGCTGGATTCCTTAGATAGAGAACTTTACTAATTGGCTTTTTTGTGTATGTGAATGTTCCTGTAATGTGCCCTGAGACAACTTTGTTGTGATTTGGTGCTATATAAATAAATTGAATTGAATTGGCACTACCCCTGATTGTCCATGTGATGATGCAAAGGTGTATCAACCAAGATAGCACCATAGCATCCAGAGCCTCATCCTATCTCATCTACTCCCAGAACCCTGCTGCCACAGAGCTTTGTAACTACCTCAGCAACCTCAGCCACAATTATGGACAGACCAACCCCAAAGTCCCCTGACTCAGCTTCCTCTATGGAAGACGTGCCGGTGGGATTGAGAAGGTCCAAGAAGTATTCCTTCCACCTCCCGATGACATCACTTATTGAGGTCAGCAGCACCCCACCTTCACTGAACACAGTGTTAATAAAGAGCTGTTTTCCCCTCCTCAATCAACTGATGGTTTGCCAGAACCTCCTCGGAGCTAACCAAAAGTCTTTGTCCAAGGCCTCACCAAACTTCTCCCACATCTGAGCTTTTGACTCAGCAACAACCAAAGATGCGGACTGCTTAGCCCACCGCTACTCCTCAGCTGCCACCAGAGTCCCACCAGCCAACAAGGAACAATAGGACTCTTTATTCAGCTTGACAGCCTCCCTTACCCAGGGTTTTTACCACCGAGTTTGAGGATGGCCACTGCGAGCAGCACTGACAACACTGTGGCCACAGCTCAAGGCAGCCACTTCAACAACTGAGGAGCAGAACATGGCCCATTCTGAATCAATTTCCCTCATCTCAGCTGGGATGGGGTTAAAGTTCTCCCAGATGTGCGAGTTGAAGATATTTCTGACGGGTTCTTCTGCCAGGCATTCTGATCAAACCCTCACTACACATTTGGGTCTACCGGATCAATCTGGCATCTTCCCCTGCCATCTGATCCAACTCACTACCAGGTGATCAGTTGACAGCTTAGCTCCTCTGTTCACCCGAGTGTCCAAAACAAATGGCCGCAAATCAGATAACAGGACTACAAAGTCCATTATCGATCTACGACCTAGGGTGTCCTGGTGCCAAGTGCACTTATGGACACCCTTATGTTCGAACATGATGTTTGTGATAGAGAATCTATGACTAGCACAGAAGATCGACAACAGAACACCACTCGAGTTCAGATCAGAGAGGCTGTTCCTTCCAACCACACCCCTCCAGGTCACACTGTCATTATCCACATGGGTATTGAAGTTCCCCAGTAGAATAAATGAGACCTCAGCTGGCACACCTTCCAGCTCCCCCACCAAAAACCCCAAGAAGGCTGGATACTCTGAACAACCATCAGAGCCCATCCCCCCACCCCCCCACCCGAAGGCTCAGGGAAGCTACCTTCTCATCTACTGTGAAAAACTCCAACACACAGGCGCCAAGTTGAGGGGCTAAGAGTAGACCCACACCAGCTCGGCGCCTCTCACCATGGGTAACTCCAGAGTGGAATAAGGTCCAGCCCTTCTCAAGGAGATTGGTTCAAGAGCCCATGCTGTGCATCGAGATGAGCCCAACTATATAGAGTCGGTACCTCTCAACCCCACGCACAAGCTCAAGCTCCTTCCCCGCCAGAGTGGTCACATTTCATGTCGCAAGAGCCAGATTTGGTAAGCCAGGGTCAAAGCGCCAAGGCCCCTGCCTTCGGCCACTGCCTTCGGCCACTGCCCATGGCATTATGGCCCCTCCTGTAGGTGGTGGTCTACAGGATATACCAGATACTATGTACACTAATATTGGATACCATACACACTAATACTGGATACTATATACACTAATACTAGATATAATTAAACAATAAACAATTAATTGGATATAATTAGTTATTAAACAGCATGAGGTAAATTTTCATTGTTATGCTGATGATACAGTTATATTTGTCCGTGAAACTCAATGAATCAAATCAGTTATTGAGACTACAAGCATGTCTTAAATTCCTTAGATAGAGAAATTTACAAATTGGCTTTTATGTATATGAATGTTTCTGTAAAGTGCCCTGAGACAACTTTGTTGTGATTTGGCGCTATATAAATAAACTGAATTGAATTGAATTGAATTGAATTAAAGACATAAAAACATGGATGACCTTTAATTTTCTGCTCCTAAACTCAGACAAGACAGAGGCTGTGGTTTTGGGACCTGAACATCTTAGGAATAAATTGTGCAGTCTTTCACCAAGTCTAGATGGCATTTCTTTGGACTCCAGTTTTAAAGTTAAAAATCTTGGTGTCATTTTTGATCAGGACATGTCTTTTAACCCCCCATATTAAAAACGTTACTAGAACCTCCTTCTTCCACCTGCGTAATATCACTAACATTAGAAACATCTGATCTAAAAATGATGCAGAAAAACTGGTCCATGCATTTGTCATGTCTAGACTGGACTATTGCAATGGTTTATTATCTGGGTGTCCAAATACTTCTTTAAAACGTCTTCAGTTGATCCAAAATGCTGCTGCCAGAGTCTTAACTGGAGTTACTGGGAGAGATCATATTTCTCCAGTTTTAGTTTCTCTCCAATGGCTCCCTGTCAAATCCAGAATTCAATTCAAAATCTTACTTCTAACCTACAAAGCTCTCAACAACCTAGCTCCATCTTATATTACAGATCTTATTGTTCCATATTTTCCTAACAGAGCACTTTGCTCTCAGACTGCAGGTTTACTTGTGGTTCCTAGCGTTTCCAAAAGCAGAATGGGAGAAATATCTTGGAGATATCAGGCTCCTCTTTTGTGGAACCAACTTCCAGTTTCTGTCCGTGAAGCTGACACATTGTCCAGTTTTAAGAACTGGGCTTAAGACTTTCCTTTTTGATAAATCCTATAGTTTGGGTTAGCTTGTTATGATTCTATAGGCTACTGTGTTACATAGGGTTACTGGAGGACAAATTGACCTCAGTTCTTAAATCAATTGTTACAAATAAATAGTTTTCATTTGATATTCATTATATCTTAACATGTGATTCTTGACCTGCCATTGTGTATCTGTTCCTACCAAACCCAGCCGGTTGAAGCAGATGTCCACTTGTCCTGAGCTGGTTCTGATAAAGGTTTCTTCCTCATGAGGGAGTTTTCCTTTCCAATGTCGCCTTCATGCTGGTTCAAGATGAGAGTTCTGCAATTGAGTTTAATTCAAAGCAGTCTGCTCCTCAGACAAATAATGTTATTAACTTACTTTTTATGTATTAGAATGTTTCTGTTTACAAAGTATTACCCTGAGATGACTTCTGTTGTGACTTGGCGCTATATACAGTAAATGCTGTTGGATAAACCTGGGAAATTTTTGAAGAGTTTGAAAATGTAAATAGTTATTGTAAGTGATATATTCAATTCAATTCAGTTTATTTCTATAGTGCCAAATCACAACAAAGTTGTCTCAGGGCACTTTACAGGAACATTCACATAAAAGCCAATTAGTAAAGTTCTCTATCTAAGGAATCCAGCAGACAAGTTGAATCTTGGCTTCGTCACAGTCTCCCATCCTGAGCAAGCACAGTGGAGACAGTGGAAAGAAAAACTCCCTTTAACAGGAAGAAACCTCCAGCAGAACCAGGATCAGGACAAGAGACCATCTGCTTTGAGCGGCTGGATGAGAGGACAGGAAGGAGAGACAGACGAACACAGAATGGTAGGTCCAGGTATAGGTCCAGGTATACGTCCAGGTGTATCTGAAAGACAAAAAAAACACATGTTAATGATAGAAAAAAAATTGCAAATGTTGAGCAGAGTAAGTAAAGACAGTAGCAGAGTGAAAAGTGTGGTCAGTTTGTCTTCCAGCAGTCTAAGCCTATAGCAGCATAACTAAGGGACAGCTCAGGAAACCCAAGCCGACCCTAACTATAGGATTTATCAAAAAGGAAAGTCTTAAGCCTAGTTTTAAAACTGGATAATGTGTCAGCCTCACGGACAGAGATTGGAAGTTGGTTCCACAAGAGAGGAGCCTGGTAACTGGAAGATCTGCCTCCCATTCTGTTTTTGTACATTCTAGACATTTTTGGTCACAAATGCTGTGTGTGTGTGTATGTGTGTGTAGCTCTGATTGCTCTGCTGCGTGACGGGGAAAGTCTGGAGGATCTGATGAAACTTTCCCCTGAGGAGCTGCTGCTGCGTTGGGCCAACTATCACCTGGAGGAGGCCGGCTGTGGCAGGATCAATAACTTCAGCTCTGACATCAAGGTGAGACACGTGCAGCTGCAACACTCACATGAACAACCTCATTTCTACAACGTTTCCTTAGAATGTCCACATCAGTTTGATCACTGATTAAATGACATGAAGCAGCAGGTGTTTGAATCTAACACAACCTTCAAGTGAAGAATGTATCAGAGGTTTTAATGAAGATGCATTAATGTGAGGAAGCTGATCTTCATCCTCACATCATCTCCTTAATCTGCGTTTTCTTCTCTATTATTTTACAAAACAGACAAGAAGATCTCAAAGTCTCTCCAAGTCCCGTTGGTTCTTCATGAAGTTTTTCTCTAGTTTTATTTGGAGTCTAATAGATCTAAACCGTAAAAGTCTGACTTTATTTCTGCACTGCTCACAGTTTAGAAGCTGAATCACGTTATAATTTCAAACTGTTCACAACCATCCAAACTAAAGATATCCAACTCCAGTAAATCGTATTTGAAACCTCTCTACATCAGATATGGTCAGTTTGAGGTTGTTCAGCTGGAATAACGTCTCCACGCTGCTTGTTCCAGGACTCCAAGGCGTACTACAACCTGCTGAACCAGGTGGCACCTAAAGGAGACGAGGAGGGAGTCCCCCCCATCGTCATCGACCTGTCAGGACTCCGGGTCAGGCTGACAAACTTATAAAAAAAGATTTCTTTCTTCTCTAATCTCCTCCACCTGTCAGTATTAACGTCATCATCACATTCTGCAGATGGAGAATGATTATTTTTGATGTGTTATGTAAGGTTCTTGTTTTTTATTTGAATAACATTAAAAAGACACCTCTGTTGTAATTTAGTTCTTAAACCTTTTATAATCGTGTATTTAGTCACTAATAAGTGGTTTATTATTATTTATTTGCACTGTTAGGGGTTATTATTGTCTGCAAGTGTTAAAAATGTATACAAACAAAATAACCTTTCAGAAAATGTAAATTTCATTTATGTACTGAAAACATTGTTTTAACTGGAGACTTTCATTCTTTCAGTTTTTTCATGCCTTATTAATGTTTAAAGTTAAAATCTGATTGGGATCAGATCTGGTGCTACAGAAAATTAAAAGTTCACATAATTTCTCTGTAATTAACAATCGCTCGGGTTTCCTGACGCCGTCTCTCCGCAGGAGAAGGAGGACATAAAGCGAGCAGAGTGCATGCTGGACCAGGCCGACCGCCTCGGCTGCAGGCAGTTCGTCATGCCGGCAGACGTCGTCCGTGGCAACCCCAAGCTCAACTTGGCTTTTGTTGCCAATCTGTTCAACAAGTACCCGGCCCTGAAGAAACCAGAGAACCAGGACATCGACTGGAGCTCCATCGAAGGTGGGATTACATCATGCTCACGACCTTCTCTGGTGTTTGCTGCTGGTGTGTGTTTTCTGGGTTTGATCGGTGGTGGCTGATGTTTCTGTGCAGGTGAAACCAGAGAAGAACGAACTTTCAGGAACTGGATGAACTCGCTGGGTGTTAACCCTCGAGTCAACCATCTCTATGCGTAAGAACTCTTTCCATCCTTCTTCCATAGTCCTGTGGGTAACTCTACAGCACTGACAGTGTGTGTGTGCGTGTTACAGAGACATCGATGATGCTATTGTGATCTTCCAGCTGTATGAAAAGATCAAAGTTCCAGTCGACTGGGACCGAGTCAACAAGCCTCCCTACCCCAAGCTTGGCAGCAACATGAAGAAGGTATAGGAACTCAAGAGAACATTTCTGTAGAAGTGGTGAAGGATGACAATGTAAATGTGGCCTGAAACCCCAGCATGCACCACGGTTCTTCTCTAAGACTCAGCAGTTGTAAAAATTAAAGCTGATGAGGGCCAACATTTTGATGTAAGAACTGCAGGTGTAAACCCGCCAGTCCTACAGCAGAGACACGCTGGGTGACAAAAAGGCCTAAAATTGATGCATGAATTGTTGAAAAAGTTGAAGGCTTGTGGGAAAAGGAAAGATTAGTTCAGTCGTGTAAAGCCCAACTTTCTGTGACCGGTTTAAACTTTACAGGTGCTGGTCATAAAATGAGAATATCCTGAAAAAGTTGATTTATTTCAGTAATTCCATTCAAAAAGTGAAACTTGTATATTGTATTCATTCATTACACACAGACTGATATATTTCAAATGTTTATTAGGCCTGAGCAGCAAAGCACTGCGAAGGCCTATTGTAATCGCTCTGTTCTGGCCCGAGCAATTTTTCCATCAAATGAATTGGTGTTGTGGGGCCTTAACAGATCCCAAAACACACCAAATTTGGTGGACGCATCAGGACTGCTGAAAAATTATGTATTTTAAGAGGTCGCAAAAATCGCAACAGAAACGGCTCTTGAGCGCCACCTGGAAATTTTCAAAATACCCTCCGCATTAACCTTAGTTTGTTGTAGAAACATGAAATTTGGTACGCTTGTCCAATTCCCCAAGATGCACAGAAAACCCTCTGGCACCAACGTTGTACGATAAACAGGAAGACGGACATTTTGGAATGCCGGCCCAATTTTAACTCCTTTTTGGAGATTTACAGCCTCTGCATTTGAACGAACTCCTCCTAGGGATTTCACTCAATTGGTTTCAAACTTGGCCATTTTAGTCAAAAGGCATGGGGGACGAAGAGTTATCAAAACGATTAATTTCGGAGCATGCTGAAGGGGCAAAGTTTGACATCTCGCCATGAAAAACGAAACGCTAATAGCTCCTACACAAAAACTGTCTGAGACAACAAACCTTCAGTGATTGATCCACATCCGGTCCCCTGCAAGACTGAATGGTCAAATCATGACATCATTTAAGCCACGCCCCCCTGAGTAAGACGTAACTCTGTCGCCATACATTTGGCTCTAAATTCCACAGATTTGAGCCGAGGTGCACCAAAACCAGTATAATCGATCATTATCCACCACTTGAACAGGAAGCCATGATAAGTGGCCAATAGTCTCCACAGCGCCCCCTAGAATATTTTAAAACCTCAGCCCCAAGCCAATTTATGATGGATAATTCTGAAACTCGGTGAACATCTGTATCTTCTCAGGACCTATGAAAAAGTCTCTTGGAGTCCTGGTCCAAACTCAACAGGAAGTCGGCCATGTTGGGTCAAAATGTCATTTTTGGGTGTTTCTAATTGTGAGTTTTAACGAACTCCTCCTAGGGATTTTGAAGGATTGCCTTCAAACTTGGTTAAGATGCCCTTAAAACATGGGGCCTTAAAACATTGGGGAGTAAAAGTTATCAAAAGCTTGTGTTTTTGTATATAGTAAAGGGGCGTGGCCAGGCCTCAAAGTTGCTCTTCACGCCGTTATTTTCCAAACTCTATAACTTTCACATTGAAAGACCGAAATGTACCAAACTTGGCATGACTCATCCCTGTTGGATGCCCGACGATCCTCTGTGGTCATATTTGGAGGTCATGAAAGCCCCGCCCCTCAGAACAGGAAGCCACTTTTTTTACTTGGAATGCTCCCTCTCTGACACCCTTGACCTAATCAGGATGATCCTGTGTTAGAAGACATTTAACAAGTTGGTCTGACTGGATTTAAATGACAAACAGTTTTAGCTGGAGGATGTGGGCGTGGCGGCGTGATGAATTAAGTGACGCCGTTGCAATACGTTTGGCTCTAAATTGCACAGATTTGAGCTGAGATGCACCAAAATCACTATGATCAATCATTATCCACCCCTTGAACAAGAATCCATGATACTCCACAGCACCCCCTACATTATTTCTACAGTTATAACTTAGTGACACATCATCTGCTCTGCACCAGATTTATTGTGTCATCTGTGAGCATTTCTAGACACATTGATATTGTTTTTTAACATTTGACTCCTGTGCGCCCCCTAGATAATTCCAAAAGTTATATCTCAGTAATACATCATCAGATCTGAACCAGATTTTTTGTGTGAGTCATCAGTGAACACTTCTAGACACAATGGTATTGTTGTTTAACTTTTGACTCCAGTGCACCCCCTAGATCAGACCTGGGCATTGTACGGCCCCAGGGCCACATGCGGCCCTTTGGTTGACTCTGACCGGCCCCCGTAAGGGGAATTACAAAATACATATGTAAACAAATGAAGTTAACCAAATCCAGATATAGATCCTCTCTCACTGATGATGTCAGCTTTGCTTCACATCTCCACCTCAGACCTTCAACCTGACTTTAACATTTCCGTTAAAGCCCAACAGAGACTAAACTTCTCTCACTAAACAAGAAAAAAGAACTGAAAAACACCAAATGAGATGTTTAGACTACAAATGTAGGCACGTAAAGAACCGGGACTCGAAATCACAGTTCAGTGACGATCACTATTATATGATGTTTCATAATATTTGAAGTACAAAGACAATATTGTGATATATTTAGAAAGCTAAGAACTTTTTCCAGCAGTATATAAAACTCAAAATGAGTTTTGGGGTGAATGTGACTGAAAATGATCATTAATATAACGTCACAAATGGTAAAAATGTTAACAGTTTTCCATTGTACTGGGAAATTTAATTGAATAAATGACATTTTTTGTAAGGAAACCTCGCTTTTTCGTTGCTTAATCATAACAAATACTCTTACCAGCTTGTTAAAACAGTGCTATGTACTGTGTTTAATAATGAAATACTATTATTATGCAGTATTGAGTTAAGTTGAAATCAGGTCTCTCTTGTAAATGAGTCCTCGAGGCTCAATGGGATTTACCTGTCTAAATAAAGGTTGAATGAAAAAGTCATTTGTGCCAGCCCTCCACAATATTTGTTGTTTCTCATGTGGCCCCATGGAAAAAATAATTGCCCACCCCTGCCCTAGATTATTCCAACAGTTGTATCTCAGTGATACATCATCCGATATACGCCAGATTTATTTTGCTTCATCAGTGAGCACTTCTACACACATTGCTGTTGTTTAACATTTGACTCAAGTGCGCCCTCTACATTATTACAACAGTTATATCTCAGGGATACATCATCTGATCTGCACCTGATTTTTTGTGCTTCATTTTTGTGCTACTATTCAGTAGCTTTCAACACCAGAGGATCTGTGTTTTGATCCTGTATGCTCCACTCTGGTTTGTCGCCATATTTATTATCTGCATCGTTTTTATGTCTATATTCTGATTTACTTCATTTTGTATTTTGCTTTGTGTGTTACCTGTTGTTCTGTCTGTACAGCACTTTGGTCGGCCTTGTCGCTGTTTTAAGTGCTTTATAAATAAAATGGTATAGTACTTTTCATGTTCATACTTTTCAGTTGGCCAACATTTCTAAAAATCCTTTTTTTATTGAACTTAAGTAATATTCTAATTTTCTGAGATACTTAATTTGGGATTTCATTAGTTGTCAGTTATAATCATCAACACTAAAAGACATAAACATTTGAAATATATCAGTCTGTGTGTAATGAATGAATATAATTTACAAGTTTCACTTTTTGAATGGAATTATTGAAATAAATGAACTTTTTCATTATATGCTAATTTTATGACCAGCACCTATAAATGGGTCTGAGCTGTGGAGCTCCTAGGACTGGGTTTCTTCTTGGTTTTGCCAAAATCCCTTTGTTGTTTATGATATTTTATCTGTATTATTTTTGGCAGGTTTTTCTAGAATGTAAAATGTACAGCTACATCTAGGTTTACAAGACATTGATGAGACCAGCTTTATGATCTGGAGTCAGAGACATGGACAAAGACAGGAGACAGAACTGAATGTGGCAGAAATGAAGATGTTGAGGTTCTCATTAGAAGAGACATGGATGGATAAGATTAGGAATGAGATCATCAGAGGTACAGCACAGGTTGAACAACTGGGAGATAAAGTTAGAGAGGACACACTGAGATGGTTTGGACATGTCCAGAGGAGGGACAGTGGTTTGGACATGTCCAGAGGAGGGACTGTGGTTTGGACATGTCCAGAGAAGGGACTGTGGTTTGGACATGTCCAGAGGAGGGACAGTGGGTATATTGGTAGAAGGATGTTAGAAATGCAGCTGCCAGGAAAAAGACAAAGAGGAGATCTATGGATGCAGTTAGAGAGGACATGGAGGTAGATGGAGAGAGGACAGAGTGAGGATAGAGGATGCAGAAGACAGAGTGAGGATAGAGGACAGAGTGAGGACAGAGGATGTAGAAGACAGAGTGAGGATAGAGGACAGAGTGAGGATAGAGGATGCAGAAGACAGAGTGAGGATAGAGGACAGAGTGAGGACAGAGGATGCAGAAGACAGAGTGAGGATAGAGGACA